ATACATTATATATTTATTTGATTTAATGCTTGAAGGCAATCTTCTCATTTATAAAAACTTCAATCTCAGCCCTCAACTCAAAATTAGTACTAAAATTTTGTCAATAACTCATCAAATTCTTGTGAAGAAGAGTAATTTAGTACATTCAGCCTTTATAGCTAACAAAAGTTCATGGAATTTGATGGTGAAATCCACAGAAAACATCAAATTCTTTATTGACACTATCAGTTCATTAATCCATAACATATCATGTGAGACCCAATCTCCAAAATGGTTAGAGCAAAATGGACTGAAGCTGTGGCTCAAGAAGTGTCTGCTTTGCAAGTGTGAGGCACTGAGTTCAAACCCCAGTCTCACAAAAAAAGTCAAACATACTGCTTCGCCCCTATAATCTAAGAACTTAGGAGGATAGCAAGTTTATGGTCAACCTGAACTAATATAGCAAGATCCTAACTCAAAAAATAACAAAAATAAATAAATAAATAAATAAATAAATAAATAAATAAGTCATTACATCTTCATTGTTATAATGCCACCTTTATCTCAAAGAAGCAGATTAAATCCTTACTTTCTTTGAAAACAGAGACAGCTATCGTAACAGTCACGTATCATTATAATAAAGGTCAATTTAGAACATCTGTCTTTTGTTAAAATTACAATGTGTTCTAGGTCCAGTAGCTTTACCCCCAGAGGGCCTTTTGACACAGCAAAAATTTGCATTGCCCCTCACTGCCTCTGTTTATGTAGAAATGTAAAGACTTGCTCTATTTCACAGAATTTTTTGGACAATATTAAATTTATAAACTTATATAAAACTGACCACATTGATAAACACCAGTCACACTTTTGGGCATTTCTATTCCTTTAGTCTACAAATATTTACTAAAAATGACCAAAACAGAAAAAAAAAATTCTTATTCCAACAGCACTAGTATTCTAGGGAGAGGAGACAAATAGAAAACAAAATTAAGTAAACATATACTACACTAGAGGGTGGACAAACATAGCAGGAATCGTATGGGAGGGAGTGGCACTTGAGACCTTTGCTGGTGAGCCTAGCGAAGGTCCTGCGGTAGACAGTGCCTGGTACGCTTGAGGAAGCCCAGGAGGTCAGTGTAACTGAAGACATGAATGAAAGGAAGAGTTATGTGGGCATTATCTTAGATGTACTCAGGGGGCAGTAAAGATCATGGAGAGCCCTGTAGTTTTCTAAGAGCTCTGGCTTTTTCATATGAATGCCAACACTGGACGGTGTTAAGGAGTGATGTAACTTATACACTATTTCTTTTTATTAGTACAGACTCATGTGTACAATAAACCTGCTTGATTCATGGATTTATTGCATGCAGTTTTGACCAATCAGGGTCCAAAATACGTAATTAATTTTAAAAAAATCAAAAGAAATTTCAAAATAAAAAATAATAAGCTCCTGCATTATACAGCACAGTTGATACAGACAAGCTCTTAATCAATTCCATGTCATCATCAGTTGTGTGCTTAAATCATTGCGTCATCTTTTGTTCCCTCCCTTAATCTTATGAAAATATGCCTCCCACAAAGGAAATGGTGCCCCCAAAAGCAAGGAATAGTTAATGTGCTTAACTGAAGTGATGAAATAAAAATCTGAGATTTGTAGAAAAGCAGCATGTCTTTAGCAGAGGTTAGGTGGTATGAGAAAAGTGAATTTAGCATCTGCAGAACTGCAACCCAGCACTGAGGGTCTGCATCCTGAATATGTGAGGCGTCTCCTCAACGGTGATCACCTTGGAGTCACAGACCCAAGGACACCAACACTCTACCGTACTTATTTGATTCTATGGATGGAAACCTAGCAACATTATTTTTGTTGTTGCTCACATTGCCTGAGTGGTAGGAGATCCTTCAGGATGGCATCTGTGCTCTCAGTGGGTTCCCATCTTTTTAAGCATTGCCTTACTTTATAGCACAAGATAATCCAGACCCATTCTGTACTTTTCCTGCATCACTTCTATGATGAATTCTTGCTTGTTGCAGGAATTGAGTAAGTTGAGCTCTTACTGGTGCTGCTGCTGTTTCTGTGACAGGTCTCGCGTGGGTTCCAGGCTAGTCTCAAAATCAAGATCCTCCTGCCTCAGCCTCACTAGTACTGGGATTATAGGCATGTGCCATCACACCTGACACCCTTGTTCCTTTTATTAGAGAACAGAGTTTTAGAAACCAAGATCTGAGCACTAGGTGGTCTCAATGATATGCCGGTGTCATTGATGCTAGATTTTTCTCAGAGGACAGAGTGAGAAAATATTCAAATTTATATACATATATATATATAACTAGCTTATCTAGTTTTAGTTTCTAGTTCCTGTGTTTCTTTTCCAGAGTTAAGCATATGAATATATATTTTCTTATACAAAGGGTATCACAATATAAATGTTCCTTCTTATTTTTCATTCACTTAGTAATATATAATGGAAACCACTCCACATCAGCTCATGGAGGAATTGTTTTTCAGTACCCCACTCTAGGGATATATTGTATATTAGTTTATTCTACCATTTAAATAACCTACATGTGCAGGAATATAGGTTGCAAATTGAAGAATCCTCTAATAAATAAATGTTAATGGTCAATATTTTACATAGCTGGAGGCATATTCATAAGGAGAGAATCCTAGAAACATCAAGCAGTAAATACATGTTATGAATCACCAAATTTTCCTCCAAAATACTGAGAGCAATTTACATCCATGCCAGCCAGATATGAGGATGCTTACTTTCCCACAGCATTGTCAACAAATGTGTTGTTACATGTTTGAAATTTTGTCAGTGAGACAAATCTTCCTTTCTTAGGAGCAGAGTTGTAGCTAAATGGTGACTCCTATGCCTATATGATAATGAAGTAAAACAAAAGGCAGTACAAATAGCAATAAAATCTGACACTGCTACAAGTTTTGAGTGAAGGCCTGGAGGTATGACTCAAATAGTAGAGAGCCTCCCTAGCAAGCATGAAGGCCTGAATTCAAACCCCACTACCATCAAAAAAAAGTTGTGAGTGGTTGAACTGAATCTAGTAGAGAGGTAATGGCTTAACAATGCTGCTACTAGTTCCCTTCTCTCTGCCACCTATCTACTCCAAGTGCCCTACCAGCATTCAGTTGCCTGGCCAAGTCTACTCAGGACTAATGCCTAGACAAAGTCAAAAGGAATGCAGGTCTCCCAAGACTGATTCTTCCAGCAGGGATACAGCACAGTTCTTATCTCCAAATACCATTTAAATATTAAGCAATAAGCATTTAAAAAGCAAAAAAGATACTTTCTGTCTAAAAAGGACAAGCTTTTCTTTTAACTATCTCCTTAGCAAATACATAGGAAATCCATTATTTAATATACAAACTTATGCATATATACATGTCTGTATTTATATATTGCTCATTGCACATTGATTCCATGTGCTTTAGTTCAACACTACAAAGTTTATTTTATCCTGCTCTCATTGCCTTCCCTATAATCCCTTCACTGTCACAAAATTATCCAAAACTACTGCTAAATTAGTTCACAAAAGAGATGGTTCTTACTTAGTCATCACAATCTTGACCCACCCATTATGCTATTCAAAGTCTGGTAGCATACATATTATCAAATTTCCAAAACAAGTACTCCCAACTTTTTTTTTTGGGAGGGGGAGGGGGGTGAAGGGGAAAGGTGGGAGGGGAGAGGAGGGTGGTGAGAAAAAGTTTAGCTATGTAGCCTAAGCTGGCCGCAACATACTGTGTTCTATTAGTTTGTACAAATTACCTTGATATAAATTACAAGTTGCCTATTTTGAGGGTTTTTACACTATAGTAATCATTTAATACATAATTCATCCAAATTAACTTTAATGTTGAATAAAGTAGATGTTAGAAAACCGTGGTTAAGTATCTGCTTCTTCTACTCACTTCCATGCTCCCTGAGACAACAGCTTTGTCCACATTCACTGATAATGGCTCTGCCATCTGGCATACTCCCAGTGACCACTCCACACAACGGTGATGAGCCCAACAAGTGCCTGTAAAGTGAAAGGAGAAAAGAATGAACATTAAAAATATCAGATGCAAACAGAAACATAAAACTTCAAAATTAACTCTCATGTGTAAACACAGAATACATCCTGTATTTGTGATGCCATTAAAGTAGTCCTTCTCAAATTATGACCCAGCCTGTGACCCGGCAGCATCAATACCTCCCTGGGAATTTACCAGGAATACAGAATCTAGGATAACAACTGAGACCCACTAAATCAAAAACTCCTATGGTATGGCCCAGTTGTATACTTTAATGAGCCTTAAGGTGATTTCTGATGCACACACAAGTTTGGGAATTACTGAGTTAGTGATTATTTCTTTAACAAGCAAAGTTAATTTTTAGTCTGTTTAAATATTACTGTGCTTTATCTGCTATCTTTATGTAAAATGTAAAGGATATTATTTATTACTTTGCAATGACAAAGGGATATATGGAAAATTAATGGGACATACACTCCTAATCCCCTCCATTCCAAATAAGAGCACACATCAGTCATCAGTAGTAGCTCACACAACACTTGAACCGCTATCAATCACACTGCAGCTCAATCGTAGCATTAGACTGCCTCAGATTCCCAAGAGTACCACACCCTGAGCGTAAGTCACTATGCTGTTAAAATGAGGAAATCCACATCACAAAGGGTCCCACAAGTTTTCACATACTCCTGCCAAACTTTCCCTCTCCTCCACTGTCAAGTGTCTGTGGCATTGTTACCTACACCAGAGTAAACACAAATATTTAAGAAAGCATCCAGTCTGATGTTGGCACAGTGCAGATTTTAAGTAAATTAGGTAAACATAATTAGGCAATTTATTTTACCTCATCAGGCATACTTTTATAATATGATCCTAATTACTTCTAGGTGAGAAGTACTTAATATTGATGATTGATAATATACCAAAATTTAAATGCTCCCAGAATCAAGAGGTACCTGTTACTGAGGAGAGGCCCCTACCTGTAGGATCAAATAAGGCGTGGACATCAACAGCATCCGGAAGGCCAACCAGACTCAGTTCATCCCACAGTTTGCCAGCCTGATCGTCTGACGCTGTCTGGGTGCTCACACTCACACAAGACACTATGTTCTGCTGAGATCGTTCTCTGAAAATAAAGTGATACAAGATAAATGGCTGTGAAGGTAATAAGTACAAATCATTTCATTTTATAATAATTTAAGTACAATGTACTGCCAAATAAATGTTATTTTATTAGGCATAAACTGTCAAAACTTTTAGAATTCATCAATTATTATTCAAAGCATAATACTAAAGTGGGTGCCATAGTATTTCATGTAGGCAACAACTAAGAGTCTCCAAACTCATAATGAAGTATTAAAATTACAATAATGAATTTATTTTTCCATTCTCTAATACAGTTTCTTTTATAAAAAATTGAATCATTCTAGCCAGGAACCATATCTTAACACAAAAAATGAGTATTTCCATTGGCCTTATTAAATGCTTACAAAACATAACTTGATCAGAAAAGTCTAATGTGTTTTATTTTAACAGAAAACTGCCACAGAAGGGATTAATTTCAAGTAAAGAAAGATTATTTTCCAGGAAAAATGAAAACCCAGTACAGAGTGTGAAAAGAGAGGTGGGGAAGTGGAACTCATGAGCTGCAGCTTTCTTATGGTCCCCTTGACAAATCTCAATAGCTGGTCTGTGACATGATGCTGCAATAGCGCCAATTAAGACTGTACTTCACAAATCAGAAGTAAACACAAAAGCAAAATAGCTACTAGAGGTATGGGGAATCAGGAAGACAGTATAGTAGCTAAAACTAGAATATAAAAAAATGAATGTTGAGGAAAGTATACGAATATAGGAGATTTCAGGCTTCTAAGCCCTACCATTTTCAGTAGTATTTCAGATCATTTAGTAAAAGACGATTACTGCATTCAACATTAAATATGGAAAATTAGATGACTACCACTAAAACTTAAATCTTCTCCTATTATTATAATATCTAACCTGATGATAATTCTGGATTAAGTCACTATTGAATATAGATCATAACTCACTGCACTTCGTATGCACTTTGTATTTATCATGATTCCTATTAAGAGAAAATCGGCACAATGACCAGGGTACTAAACTTTTTTATACCTGGAATCACTGAAAGAAAAAAAAAGTATTAACATATTTCAATAAGTACATTTAAATATCAATCCATATTGAAATAACCAGTAATTTCTTATGTTTAGCATTAGAGATAAAGGTTCAGCATGCTATGCTAACTTTAAATTCTCATCTTTATAAATGCCCACAGAAAAATGAGAACAAATTCTTTCCTACAAATATAACCTCTATCCTACAAATATATATTCTTCATTACTAATCATTATTATTTCTTGGGAGAAACCAAGACTAACAGTTCATCTATTAGTACTAATGTGTTGCTTTAGCATATTTTTGCACTAGTATTTGAGGGGGAGAGCAATATAAAAACCAATGGAATGACTAACCAGTCTATTACAAATCAGTTCTTAATCAAAGTTTTGAGACTGTATATACCACATCAGATGCCAATATCAATCCTAAGGTTGACAGCAGCCTAGCTTAGGAAAGAGTATCAAGAAGAGTCAGCTGAAATACATACCAACAAAACTTCAAATTATAAAGCAAAATGGAATTAAAAAAAAAAAAGTACCCTTGATTATGCAAAGAGGGAGGAACCACTGTGAAAACATCCTTTGTCAAATTTTCTTTAAAATTAACTTTTTACGCTGCATTTATTTTGTAACTATTTAAAATTATGACTAAGCTAAATTAACCATCTACATTCACAAAGTATCTTCATTAATGGACTTTTTATCATCATCTAATAAGCTTGGTAAGCACTAAGTGTATTATAACAATTTTCACTGAGCCACAGCTATTTTTATACAATTATCTGAGCTCATAGAGCTTTTCACTAAAAATTAGCTCCACTTACAAAGTAAATAAGTTAATGAAATCCATTTCTATTTCTCAGGACAGAATTTTATCCTATTGCCATTATACGATATACAATATGACGATATTAGATTTTGCCTGATCCAGTCTATTAAATTTACTGATTAGTGACAGACATTAGAAATTTGCTGGACTTTTTAATACATTTTATTAACATAGGAGCACTCAACTGATAACAAAAATAAGGCTCTTATATATGATTTAAAGATGACCTTCAAAACTGTACAATACAGTACTGGTAAGCTTCCTTAAACTGTTCCACCTTAAATTCTTTAAAAAGATTCTTTCTTGTTATTGTTTCATTTCCTACTTCTAGTCAAGGCATTGGCAGCAGTTCAAAACAATGAGCCAATCACGTAAGTACAGCACAACAATGCTTAGTACTGAAATTTGGATATAAGCCAAATGGGCACTTGGATGATTACATCATCACCCTCAAGAAGCAGAGCTGGTTAGCCTTCCAAGCTAAATGAATTTTTACACTCTCTCATCAACTACAGAAACTTCTATTCCCCCAACCAGCAAAGCCAAGTCCATATGTTAAGATGACTTTTAAATACAAATGTACAAAATATTTAAAGAGCACATCAGGGAAGGGTTTCTAGGTGATTGCATTGTGCCCGTGAACAAAAATACATATGTAGTTATACAAACATCTTATTTTAACTAAGTATCTTCTATCAGGAAGGGAACTACATTATGGTAAGAATTTATAGGACAGTTTAACATTCTCTGAAACATACACATTCATAAATTAAATAAGAATAAATAAATAAACAAATGGGTGAAACGAAGGATAGGAACAATAAGAATACTTCTGGCTTTGCTGTTATGCTATATTCTCATAAGCATATAGCATATGTTTTTCTTCTTTCCAGTTATAAATTCCATGAATTCTTTCTTAGCTTATGCTATGTTTTTTAAATTTTTCTTCCAAAGGTTAACTTTTGTCACACACTAACTTTGTAACAGACAATTAAGATATCCAACATTTTTAAACAAAGAAATTCTAAGAAAAGGACTTTTTGTTGGCTTGATTGAGTCATAAAGCACTGGCTGAATGTGAAGAACATGGAGCGTTCAACAGTAACAGCCCTATTTGTAAACATTACAATGAAAATAAATTAGATATAGCTTTATTCCACCTCAACAGTTTAAACTCAAAACTGCTTACTTTCTCTGTCCTCTTTGTTCCTTGGAGCTGAATTTTGAGTTTTCTCATGGGTCACATTGCTGTTGTCATCAGTGTCCTTGTTAGAAGGTTGGGTTTTCCATGGCAAGGTAAGTCCAGGAGTTACTCTAAATTGTTTTAAGTCTCCTTGTCCTAAGGAACTTTTCTCCCCACAGTAACAAAATGCGCAGAGCTGTTCACTGGTAAATATGAAATGAAGGAAGACAGAGAAAAAGAGCTTTATTTGATTACTTAAAGTAGCAGAAAACTAGATACTTGTACTTACAAACTACATTTTTAATGCAAGCTAAGCTTTTCAACATATGTTCTATAATCTATTTTGTGATTATACTGTAAGAACAATTAAACTGAGTAACAACTATATATTTGCAATTCTACTTTTCTACAGCATGATTTTTATTTTATTGTTTTATTTTTATTTAATTTTTTGATGATGTCGAAGAATGAACCTAGTGCCTTGCACTTGCTAGGAAAGACCTCTACGACTGAGCTTACAACCTGATCCCAGCATGACTTCTGGTGGGGCAGGAAGGTTTGGGAGATGGAAAAGTTTGAACACAGGGCCTTGCACTACCACTTGAGCCACACCTCCAGTCCTTTTTGATTTGGGCTTAAAGGGTCTCCCTTTTGCCTGCGATAGCCTAGGACTATTATTCTCTCACCTACGCCTCCTGTGTAGCTGCGATCACAGGTGTGAGCCACACACCTGGTCACAATTTTTATTTAAAGTAGTAAACATAGTCTGTTAAAAATTCTATTTTAGTGCTAAAGGTATGCCTAAATAATAGAACACTAGCCTAGCAAGCACAAGACTGCGTTCAAACCCAATACTGTCACCAAAAAAAAAAAAAAAAAAATCTAGCTTGTAAAATATTTTAAAACTCTGACTAAAGAAAATTAATAAAGAAAGTAAAGCTGTAGATGGGAAAGAGAGTAATTTAACAGCCTCGTGAGTTCATGCTTGCTCTGTAAAACATATGGTAAAAAAGTTGCATTTAGTTACTTGATGAAACATTCTTTGTGCATGATATAAATGTACCACCCACATGCATGCACACAGAGAAATAAAAAATAAAAAATTTAATGCTTACTGGGTTAAGTTCATGGGTTAAGTAGTTAGCAAGTTACCAGATGGGTCTGAACGGGGGAAGAAAGGCATGATTTAGGAGGACCATAGGGAATTTATAGGGCTGTGAAACTACTTTGATACTACAATGGCAGATACATAACATTCTGCATGTCAAAACACATAAAACTGTATCATATAAAGAATGACCCAGTGTAAACTGAGCGTATCAACTATAGCAAATGTATCACACTAATGCACAATTCTAAATTGTTGGGAGAGGGGAATATGAACTATACTATCTGTTAAATTCTTCTATAAATCTAGGACTGTTCTAAAATTAACGTCTATTAATTTAAAAAAGAAATCATTAAAAAGTTAGAAGAAGCCAGACATCGTTGGCTTACACCTGTAATCCCAGCTACTTGGGGGGGGCTGAAATCAGGAGGGATCAAGGTTCAAGGCCAGCCCAGGCAAACAGTCACAAGACTCCATCTCCAAAATAACAAGAGCAAAATGGACTGGACAAAATGGACATCTGCTTTGGTAAGTGCAAAGCCCTAAATTCGAACGCCAGTACCAGACCAAAAAAAAAAAAAAAACAAAGTTAAAAAACAAGAAGTAATATACGTTATGGAATATACACTTAATAAGAGATCTTAGAACAAAGCAAAATTAAAAGCACTGCTCCGCTTATATTTTTGTATTTATAACATTTATTGCTACCCAAATCTTTATTCTCCAGCATTAAAAGTTTCTACCAGTTCCTCTGGAGTATTTGCCCCATGAACTTTCATCACATGTTGTATTAACAGGGAATAGAAGCAATCTATAATCTCTTGAGATACTATATTAGCTTCTAAGTACAACCAAGAGTTCACTTTCTTTTCAAACATATTGTAAGACTTCAAAAGTAGACAACACATTAGGCCATAAAGGAAGACCTGATATGTTCAAAGTGACCAACATCAAATATACAATATTCTCTGACAATGTAATGAACAATATTCTCTAACAATGTAATAATGTAAATTTTTCTAAGTATTTGGAAGGTAGAAAAACATATTGCTGAGATCCTATAATTAAAATGCAAACCAAAGTACTTTGTAACAAACTGATAATAAAATTCTGAATGCAAAAGTTTGTAAGATGTAGCTAAGTTGTAACTAAAGAACTTAAAAATTTATATAATTATCAGAAATTAAAAGTTAGATGTTGGTCAGGCACCAGTGACTCACACCTGTAATCCTAGCTACTCAGGAGGCAGAAACCAGGAGGATCAGAGTTTGAAGCCAGCTCAGGCAAATATTTCACAAAACCCTGTCTCAAAAATACCCAACACAAAAAGGGGCTGGTGAGTGGCTCATTGGTAGAGCACCTGCCTAGCAAGGGAGAAGCCCTAGTACCACCAAAGAAAAAAAAAAAAAAAGTTTAGGTGTTAATGGAGCTAAACTTTCAACTAAAAAGGTCGGTAGAAAGTAAGTGAGGACACTGATTAAAACAAAGAAGAAATAACAAGAGAAATAACAGAAATGAATGAAACAGGACAATTACAAACAATAAAGAAGACCAACAAAGCCAAAAGCAATGCTTTAAAAAGATGGGGAAGAGGTGGAGGAAGCAGGGAAGCAGGCAAAATAAAACAAAATACAGAATGAAGATAGAAATAACTACATATGCAACCAACAATAAATGCCTACTCTTTCCCCTTTTTTTCAACAGTACAAGAAGTGCCACCTAGAATAATGAGGTAAGACAAAGAAATAAAGAAATCCTTACAACAAAGGGAGTATTTCTATTTGCTGACTACATAACCTTATACATGTACAGAAATACTTAGACTCACCACAAAACTGCTAGAACGAAAAACAAATTCAGTAAAGTTTCAAGACATGAAATCAATATGCAAAAATCAGCATTCCTATATACAATAATAATGAACTATCTGAAAATGTAGAAAACAATCCCATTTACAATAGCAACAAAAAATTTAAATATTTCTGCATAAATTTCACCAAGGAAGAAAAAGATCTGTACACTTGGAACTATAGAACATTGATGAAAAAAACTGAAGATATCCCAAGATCATGGATTATAATATCCAAAGCCATGAACACAGTTAATGGAATTTGTAATTCCATTAGAAATTGGAAATTCCAATTTCATAGAAATAGAAAAGGCAATCCTTAAATTCATATGAAAGCACAAAAGACTCCAAATAACCAAAATAATCTTGAGTAAAAAAGAATAAAACTAGAAGCCAGGCATAGTGGTACATGCCAATAATCCCAGCACTCAAGAGATTAAGGCTGGAGGATTACAAATTCAAGGCCAGGCTGGGCTGTACAACAGTAAATTCCAGACCAGTATGGGCTACATAGTGACACCCTACCTCAAAAACAATAACAACAAAAAATAATAATGGAGGTATCATACTCTCTAACGACAAAACATAAAGTGACTATAATCAAAACAGCATGGTACTGACATAAAAAGGCACATCAACCAATGAAACAGGATAGAAATCCCAGAAATAAACACATACATTTACTATCAACTGATTTTTGTGAAAGACACCAAACACATACAATGGGAAAATGGCAGTCTCTTTAATAACTGATCCTGGGAAAACTGGGTATCCACATGTTGAAGAATGAAACTGAACCCTGTCTCACACCAAATGCAAAAACCAAGTCAAAATAGATTAAAGACTTAAATATAAGACCTGCAACTGTAAAACCTTTTTGATAACAGTCAAACTCAACAAAAAATTCTGGAGAAGAGGAACTACAATATAATTTCTCAGATCTACATTGGTACACTTGTTTTTTTCTGAGCTGATTAAAACCCAGTTAGACATGACTAGTGTTAACAAGCAGATGGTTAGGAAGGGTTCTGGAGGACAGAGAACAGAGAAAGTTCAAAGATCCTCAGGCAAGCCAGGTACCAGTGGCTCATGTCTGTAATATTAGCTATTTAGGAGCCTAACATTGGGAAGATCATAGTATGAAGCCAACCCAGACAAATACTTCCAAAACTCCATCTCAACCAATAGCTGGATACAGTGATTCACTCCTGTCATCCCAAGCTACACAGGAGGCTGAGATGGAGGGGCAAAAAGTTCATGAGAACCCCATGTCAACAGAAAAAAAATCTGGCATGGTGGCACATGCCTGTCATCCTAAATTCAGTGAGAGGACTAAAATAGGAGGATCATGGGGAAAAAAGAACCCTATCTCCAAAAAGAGTGCCTGCCTAACAAGTGCAATGCCCTGATTCAAACCCCGGTATTGCTCCCCCCATCAAAAGAAACCCTCAGATAGAAACCTTCTAAGTGTATGATGAGACCACAGTAAGAAACAAAATGAAGTCAGAGAAACAGCCAGGACCAGATCACAAATTGTAGAAATGAAAAAGGCTTGAAATGCTATTATTTAATGATAATTTAAATATTTCATTTAAATATAACCACCATTAAACATAGTAGGGAGGACACCTGGTTTAAGTTTTACAGTAATTTTTGCAACTTTACAAACAACATATTGAACTGTGAAAGGGGAGAGAAACAGAAAGACAGTAAAAACTACTATAGTCACCCAAGGACAATAGTTTCAAATAAAATGTCAGGCAAATTGCTAATAAGAAGTTGTCTGGGTTATTTCTGAAGTTGAGATATAGATTTACTGAATTGGATATGAGGTATGAGAATAGACAGAAATCAAGGATAAACTCCAAAGACTTTGACCTAGGCAACTGTGTAAATATTGGTTATTAATGATTAAAATGGGGAAAGCAGGGGAGAAACAGATTTGGGGTAGCAGTCCAGAATCGTGTAGTTTTGGTGGAGATGTTAGCAGACAGATGGACACAAAAGTCTGGCATTCGGGGAAAGATCAACACTGAAAATGTAAATGTGTGCTCATAAAGAGGCCTGTAAGCTGAATGCACTTTCCCAGAGAGTGAAGTCAAAAAGTAAATGAGATACCTGAGGACTCCAACATTATAAAGGTGAGGTGTCATCAAAGAAACCAACAAAAGACAAAAATGAGAAGTGAGGTGTGCCAAAAACAAACCAAAGAAAGCACTTCAACAAGATGAGAATATTAACTGATTGATATTTCACAGTTTTATTCAGATGTTCAAATAGAGCCTAAAAATACAAAATTGAAGCTGAACTACTTACTGATAGGTTTTCTTTTTTAAAGAAGGGGGTGTCATTAGGAGAAAGGTGGGAGAAAAAAGAGGTGGTGGGGGATAAATAATCAAAATGTCATAATGAAACCCACTATTCTGTAAAAATAAACAGGAAAAAGAAAAAAAAGAAGAGGGTAAGAATTAAGCATATAAACATAAGTGTATGGGGAAGTATCAAAATTTAATTCTATGCGACATGCTCAGTCTTTTCTTTGGCCAGGAATACCATACTGTTAACTCTCTTACTCTCTGAAGTGACTAGAGTTGCATCCTAGCATACATCCTTCTCATAGTCGCCAAGTCCACAGCTGCTTTCTATCCAACTACACACACAGGTGTCAACCTGAAATTTAAAGCTGCTAAATGATTAAACTTCATCTAGACTAAGATCCTAAACCTCGTCTCCCTGAATTTTCTCTGCAGTCAACTCGCTGCCCTCTTTCCTGTCAATAATCTCCAATCTGGCTCTATTCAATTTCTAACCTGATTTTAGCTTCTACACCAACAGACACCAGGGAGTTTGCAGATTCTTCAGACACAGATCGCTGAAGAGCCGGGACTGGCTGTTTGCTGTTATCCACTTCTGTTTCAGCATCCTCTTCTGCAGATTGTTCTTTGATTTCTGCTTCACAGTAAACAAGAGAACATAAAGTGTCACTTTTGTGTTTCCTAATCGTTGGTGAATATATCTACAAAGCATATACAGTAATGAAAAAAGAATCAAACAAGTAACAATACTTCACAAGTATAGGAAAAATGTATGTATATGGTTAATGACATTGTTTATATGTATTCACTACTACAAAGTTATAATCACAATAATGTAAACTGGTATACTTTTCCTTCACCTTGGCAACTACTATAGTAGTTGATCTGTAGAATAAATGTATTTCAATGTGACTGTTTTCTAAAGTTTCTTCACATTTTATAAATTGAAATTACCATTAATTATGCATTATGCATTCCAATTATTACCCATTCTAAAAGCTCAATATTAAAGAACAAACCTTGACTCTACTGCCTTTTTCAATTCTCCTCAGGAGTCTAACGAAAAACCTTGCACATACCTCCTCAGGAGGCCATCTAACTGCTAAGAGGGTTCTCAAACACCTCCACCCTTAACATCATTCTCTCTATATAAAAGTGTTATTTATGTCTACTCTGTCTTTCACATTGTGTACCAGAATAAAAGGATGCTAATCCTTCACCAGTGCTCCTGAAGCAAGTCCATGTTTTTGGTTGGATCCTTCTTTTCTAATTGGAAATTTATTTAGACCTTTCTATACTTCCCCCAAAACAACTCAAAGTTCTTCAAGCTCTTCTTCTCCATTCTTCCCTCCTTCTGCTACCAAGTTCATGAAATGGGCTTCCACCTTTCTCATAATATACCTGTCCTACTAAGCAAACTGTTCTCGCCACCACCATAGATGGCAACAGAACTAACAACAATCCAGGAGCCACTAGCAGCCTTCAAAAGGCCTAAAATTTCATTTTACACCTCCTTACAGAAAGACTCTTCCACCTTTAACAAATAGGGAGATATAATGGATGAATACAGGATCTGGAGCCATAAAGACCAGGTCTCAGATCTTTGACCATCTACTAACTATTCAATATTATATAAAAGTCATTTTTCTTCTACTCACCTACAAAATTAGAAAACTTCATTGTAACTCATAAGATTGTCCATGAAGATTAAATTATCTAAATCGGTATCTTCAGCTGATTTCTTTTATGCCCGTTAAATTAAAATAGAGGCCTCTATATGTCCTGCATATGCTTTTCTTTGAAAAACTTAATTATTACATGGTCCCAACAATCTCCTAGGGATTTCATCATCTTAGGTCTACATCCACAATATCAGCATCTCCTGTGCTCCTTATCGTACTCCCACTGCACAGTGGATGTATCTTAGCAGCTTGTACAAAAACTTCCACACCAAACTTCATCTTTTATCTTTCATACCAGCACTATAATCTCACATCCTTATTTTTGTGATTATGTTCTAAATTCAAAATAAGTTTTATGGACGTATTTGAAAAAAACGAACAATTCTGGTAACTATTAATTGTGTAGCCAGGAAAATTATAAATAATTGTAAAGCCTGTCAAATAAAATTAATGGTGATATGCGGCATTAAAGAGATGGTCTTGGTTTTCATAGTTAAAGTAACATATTTCTTTTTTCTTTTTTAAATTGAAATTGAAAAGTTGACCATAAATTGCTTATGGACCTTATTAACTAAAGTATCGTATCTACCTGACAGACAAACTTGACATACAGTACCTAGAATCAAACCTGCAAGTATATCAATTCTTTGTATCAAAAAAGGAAACAAAACACAATCTGCAAATTTTACTACATTGAGATTTTTTTTTTTTCCCCTTTCTTTTCATCTATGTGGTATGGTTGATCGTGAGCCTGCGGGGAGCAAGCTGGCCCCAGATTTCTCCAAATCCACATTTCTTTGCCTCCAATTCTTACGTGTCCAAAGACAGGGAACGAAAGGCATGCCTTTGTAGGAGGGTACTACATTGAGATTTTTAGCTGGAGGCATAACTCAAGCAGTAGAGCACCTGCCTAACAAGTGTGAAGCCCTGAGTTCAAACCCCAATATGCTCCTCCCCCCAAAAAAAATTATTTGGCTAGTGTTGTGGGTCAAGTCGTGGGGCCCCTGGCTAGCAAGCATGAGGCCTTAAGTTCAACCTCCAGTACCTACCACACACATACACATTTTTTAATTTCTGTATGATAAAAGACTCCATGAACAAAATGACTACAGATGTGAAAAAAAAAGACATAATTTCTACCACCAAAAAGGTATCCAAAATCTAGAATATGTAAAGAATTTACAAATCGACAAGATAAAGCACATAGCTCTGTAGAAAACAGACAAAGGACAAAATCACACTCTCCTTCCTCTGTCCTATTTAAGTTTTAGGAGGGCATATAGCTCAGCCAGAGCCCTTATTTCCTGATCTTCTTTGCAGCTAAGTATGGCAAGTTCCTACCAAAAGAACATGACTAGAACCAATTGCCATTCTCCATCACCTAAAAGTGGGTGATTTCCTTTTGGCTAAATTATGTCCCCTTTTCTATGTATTGGAGTGGACAACAAAGCACCTAGTCACAATGCTGCAGCATTCCAGGGAATGGTAAAAAAACAAGACAGAAGAAACCTGGGTCCATAAACAACTACATGGAGCAAAGATGCCTCATTAGCTATGCCCTCTCACCACAGAACTATCATATGAAAGAAAAATTAGTCTTGTTAAGTCACTATTGTAGTTTGAAAGCAGTTTAAGTTATGTCTTAGTTAACAAAAAAGCTATTATTCTGGAGTGAGGAATTGCTATAACACTGATCCTAAACTGAAGTGACTCTTCTTATTGTGTGTCAATACTTGACGTAACTGCACCTACAGAGACTGTAGCTCTAGGAAATCATCTGGAAAGAGTGGAGATTATTCTGTGTTGTCAACCTTTAAGGTTTTTAAAACCAAACAGTGAAAGGAATCCAGTTCTGCTAGAGAGACTCCCAGTCTGCCTGCTTACTATAATCAAAATACTATAAAATGACCATATATAAAAATATTTTATGGAAGCATTTCATATCTACTCAATGTGGGTTATATCTTTTTTTGTGCCAGTCTTAAGACTAAGTAACAAGAAAAGTTAAGGGAGGGGGAGGGGTAAGAATGGTGCTTCTGAGGCTTACAGTAAGCCAGGTGAATGAGGGACTCATGCAGGAATGCCATTACATTCCCTGGGAACACTTTCCTTCTAAGAGACAATTCTGTTTCTCTCCCACCTTAAACTGTTCCTTCCAATTGGGTCTGGCCCTTCTGTTCCCATCTATTATGCTGCCATCTACCATTTAACAACGCTTAATCAAATAGTTTCTTCTGGCAAATAGTCCAACAGTCCTAGCTTTTATCTTGCCTAGTACACACATACACAAGAAAATACATTGCAGTCTTAGTATTTTTTTTTTCAGGAGGTTCTATTGGTTATAACTGAAGGCAAAAAAAGAAGAGCCTCCTCCATCCCTCCCTCCCTCCTCCTCTCTCTCTCTCTCTCTCTCTCTCTCTCTCTCTCTCTCTCTCTCACACACACACACACACACACACACACACCACACCACACAACACACACACACACACACACACAACACACACACACACACACACACACACCGGTAGAACCAGAAGGAAACAGCAATGCTTAAAGATAATGTTCACAGTAGGCTGACAGGTTTTCAAGTATACAGTCTTTTAGAAATAGGTTTCCTACATTTCAGGGGGAGAAAAAGCCACTTTAGACTCCAGGGAATCTTAATTATTTAAGAAATGGGGCCAAGACCAGTTCTGATCCACAGCAACAGGAAGGCTGGCTTTGAGAGTTTGTCCTGTTCTCTTTTCTCTTCCATTATTGCTACTGGCTATACATCCTAACCTGAATCTGCTAAAGAAACAGTAGAGATTGATGACTTTAGATTTTACTTCTGGTTTGAATGCTGTGTTTTGACTTTTCTGTTCTTTAACCAGTAAGAAGAAATCTTGTAACTGCTTCTTAGGGAGCAGTAGTTCCAGCCACACAAGAGAAACAATAAAAGGTATCTTTAAGTATGTGAAACTATAGATAATGGAACCTATCTTTATTTGTCACTCTGCATTTGGGAGAATTAGTTACATCTTACTATTTTTCAAAGTCAAGGCAGGACAATTAAACTACTGTTTATATCTTTACCTTTTCTCCTAGCCCTTGTCAGAGTTTGGTAGCAAAATGTGAAGCAAACTGCTTCGTCTAAAAATAATGTCAATCAGCCCAGTGATGTGATGCATAGAAGAGTGGCTAAGTCCAGTGATAAATGATGGAATACTCCTGCCAGAACTTGGTTATCCATAGTTTATCACTAAAAATGGACTCTTGAACATCAGCTCATGCTGTGCCTAAAGGAAGACAGCCTGTCACCCGCTAAACCAATCCCGGCTCAGCTACACAATCACTTTGCAAGGTATTGCCTTTCATGGCGTTCTATTTGCTCAAACTGCCTGCAGCCCAAACTTGTGGAAACCAGAGTGGAGCTGACACTTTACATTTGAAATTTTTCACTATGATATTTTTCTTGATACAAAACTCCCTGCACCTTTCCCCTTAGTTTACACCTAACAAAAATAAAGTAATGCCACTTCAATTTTTTTAAAAAGCCCTAATGCCAGAAAGTTGGAGATGGGGAGTGGGAATTACAGATCCAAAGCCGCTACACTACCTGTGGTTAATCTCTAACCACTAGGCGGCGTGAGTGTAGTGGTAATTATATGGCTAAAGAACCTAATCTCCTGTAAGGAGTCCCTTCACTAAACAACATCACCTATGTGCAGCAGAGCGTATCTTTGGGCATACAAAAATAAACTAGATCTAACTTCTGCCTTTACATAATTTCATTATATACACCTCTTCTAATTCTTTAATTTTCCACCTCCTATGATTCTTACTTAATTCTAAAGCTAGTCTATGACATAAGAAAGTTTAAATAGCAAAAGCTGTCTGCTGTGTTAAAAACCAAAGGCTTGAAATCTAATGGTCAGAAATTTGCATCTTAGCTCACCCAGGGGCTAGCAATACGACCTTGGCAAGTTACTTAACCTAATCTCAATTTCAGTTTGCCTCCCCATTTTAAAAGATAGATAAT